GGTTGGTTGGTTGGTTGGTTGGTTGGTTGGTTGGCTGGTTGGCTGGGTGGTAGGTAGGTAGGTAGGTAGGTAGGTAGGTAGGTAGGTAGGTAGGTAGGTAGGTAGGTAGGTAGGTAGGTTGGTTGGTTGGTTGGTTGGTTGGTTGGTTGGTTGGTTGGTTGGTTGGTTGGTTGGTTGGTTGGTAGGTATGCCTGCCTGCCTGCCTGCCTGCATGCATGCATGTATGTCGGAACGCTGTAGTATAGGGGCGTCAACATCGAGAATGGGATTTTCTGCATTTACGAAGATATTTGTAGTATCAGGGACTATCATAAGTTATACAGTAGTGACTAGTATGGATATTTATAGTATCAGGGACAGTTACAAGTTATAAGGTAATGATTAGCGTCACTTCATATGGGAGTTTCAGGAAGTAGGGGACCTAGTATAGTACCCTAAATAGTAGGATCCTTATTATAAGGACCCCCCAAAATCAGGTACCCCTAATTTTCGGAAACTCCCATATTCCGACCCCTATTGTACCGAATAGCGACCGAGGGGCTCGATCGCGATCCCGGCTCCTGGGGGGCTCGCGCTGGTCGCCTCTCGTCCATCTAAGGTTGAAACCATGAGCCCCTAGTATGGGCCCTTAACCCTGGGATCCTTATACACCTACTATATATCCTATCTGTACCCTTAAGGGTCCCTAGAAAGGCCTAAGGGTCCATATTAGGGGTCCATACTTCTAACCCTAGAGTCCAGCAAACGGTATGTTACGTGTCTTCAGGGTTTGGGGTTTAGGGTTCAACGGCTTAGGGTTCAGGGTTCAGGGCTCAGGGTTTAAGGCCTGCTTGTGTCGTTAAACTTCAGGGACTTGGCTTTTAGGGCTGAGGGTTTTGGAGGGGGGTTTCCAGTATGTTTCGCGGGCGTGGGCGTTCAAGGCTCAGGGTTGCGGGGTTTCAAAGTTCAGGGTTTGGGTCATTTTACATTCGGGGTTTAGGGTTGAAGAGTTTAGGGTTTAGGGTTTACTTCGCCTTGACTTTAATTACAAAGGTTTACAATGGGTGTCATCGAAAGTGCAGGGTCTATCGATTAATTGTGCTGTGGGTCTGGTGGTTTTGCTCCAGTTTAAGAACGCCCGTTAGGCCCCAAATAGTGCTTCTATCGTAAGCCTTACACTGGGATGTAGTTTGGGGGCCCTGAAAAGTATTTATAAATAGGTACCTCTATAGAAACCACAAGGGAAATTTCAATTTTTCCCAAATTGCCACCTAGTACCGTCCAGCTTCGTAGGAAGCCCAACAAGAAGTCTTAAACGAACCCAAATTCACCGGGCATCTGAACTCCAATCCTGTGCGGCCTTCACACGGCTTCTATTCACGTGAGACCATCCCCTAACCCCCCAGGTACCTACTATATAGGGCCCTCGGGACTCTAGTACACTATATAGTAGGTACCTGGAGGGTTAGGGATCCTTTGAAAGCGTAATCCCAACTGCCTAAGCCATGCAGAGCACCTCAACCCTGAGACCCTAGGCCCTAAACCCGCAATCACTAAACCTCTGAACCCCTAAACCCTAAACCCCAAACCCATAAACAACCATACCCTAAATCCCAAACCCCTAAACCCTAGATCCCTAAACCCTCAATCCCTAAAGCTTTAAACCCTAAACGCCTAAACAAGAAATCTTGGGATGTATGAAGCAAGTCACGGTCCCTGGCATGGTCTCGCTCGCGGGGCTCTCGCTCCCAGCCGCGATGCTGCTCTTGGCCCCGGTCGCGGTCGGAGAAGGCAGTGCCTACACTTTGGTTTAGAGGTTCAGGGTTTCTAAGCCCTCAACCCTGAACCCGAAGCCGACAATAAACCGAAACCACGCCACCATAGGAACAGCTTCAGCCCTTATAATGTAGGGGCCTATATATTTTGAATAAGGTTTTGGGGTATGGTATACTATAAATATAATGAGGAACCGCCAAACATAGTATTGGTAATTAGTTAGGCCCCTATATTACAGCCCTTATACAAACCGATATCACACCACAGAAAGACCTATACCTCAAATAAGACCCCTATAGACCCTTTATCGTCAAGGGTTTAGGGTTATGTAAACAGAACCTCAAACCACAAATGAAAATCTTAATCTACGACAAGGTGCGCTGCCGCTTCCAAGGCGCGTCGCTGTCGGTTTTCGCGGCCGTCTGCTTCAAGGATAGAGGTTTAGGGTTTAGGGTTCAGGGTGGCATCGAACATAGGGGCCATACTACTTGGAATAGGGCTGCTTGACAGGCGAAGGGCGAAGATGGGGGGATCTTTATTTCTTGGCGCTTGGGGTTTAAAGCTTTGGGGTGTTTGGCTACTACCCTGGGATTTAGGGCTTAGAAAGGTTCAGCGTTCGCTTCGCGTTGCTTCCCTGATATCATCACGGAGCCATACCACGAACTACGAGCATGAGGGGCGACGGGTCAACTGCAGCTGCAACATCAGGAATGATGTCGGCTTAGTACCGAGTCGTGCCGCTGACATGTGACCATCACACTTCTAGGTTAGCCCTAAACCCTAAACCCTAAATTACCCTTTACCCTAAACCCTAAACCCTCTCTAACCATCCTACAAGATGCTCTTGAACAGCATCCTCTCAAAAACAATGGGTGCCAGAGTTCCCTAGCCCAACACATCTGGGGGTTTCCGAAAATAGGGGACCCTAATATAGTACCCTAAATTTGTAAGACCCTTATTATAAGGACCCCAAAATAGGGTACCCTAATTTTGGAAAGTCCCATCTTATTAGCTTTGTAATCAGAAGATAGCAGAACCTGAAGAAGGAGGCCTTGGCGCTGGTAAGGAACTTCTGCATCTGCATCTGGTGATCCTCCTCAGAGCTCGCTTTCCTGGGCTCTTCTTAAGGCATTCAACAAAGTTACTGAAAAAAGGGAAGCCATATTATATTTAGGGGTTTAGGGGTTTAGGGTTTAGGGTTTAGGGTTTAGGGGTAAGAGGGAAGCCATATTATTTGCTATAGATCCCTGTTATGGCCACTTCAAGTTACAGTAAAAGGGAAGCCATACTATTTACCATAGATCCCTGTTATGTCCACTTCAATTAAGAATGTTAGCGCCCAGTTTCGGCCGATCTTTTAAGGAGAAGGCCTGGACGCGAGTCTGGGGCGTCTCGTGGGAGGCTTGCTCCGGATGGTACTGGGAGTGCTCTTGTGCTTGCTGCGGATGTTGGTACTGGTGTTGTGGTTGCTGGTGATGCTGTTGGTGTTGATGGTATTGTTGTGTGGGTTGCTGCTGCTGTTGCGGATGCTCCTGTTGCGCTTGGTACGCATTCGGATAGAGCTGTGGAAAAGATGGCTGCGTCGAAGATGCTTGCTGGGCAGCCTGCGTCTGCTGGTGTGCATGCTGTTGATACGCCTGGGAATCTGCTTGCTGGTAGGCCTGCTGATACGCGTTGGAGTCTGCTTGCTGATAGTGCTCGGCATGCATCTGAGGGTACGGCTGCTGCTCCGGCTGCTGAGCATGTGCTTGCTTGTATGCCTGCTCGTGCACTTGGGGTGCTGCTTTGGCCCGCGCCTGCGCCTGCTGAGCAAGGTTGTCTTGAAAAGTTGGCTGCTGCGGGGCTGCCTTCTGAAACGATTGTGTCTCCTGGTACGCCGTAGGGGGCGCTGACTTGAATGCCATGTGATGCTGAGCCACGGCTGGCTCATGGGCTGGCGCAGGTGTAGGGGCAGCCTTCGGGGGTGGCGAGTACTGAGGGTGTTTTGGAAACACCGGCTGACTCCTGTCGGCAAGCTGCTGGGCTTCGACCGCAGCTTGGGCGGTCGCCGCAGACTTGGACTTGCTCAGCAGGTCTGCGCCAGGCACCACCGCCGGCACTGTCGCCGACACTGCCACTGCTGCGGACTTGGGGGGCACTGTTGCGGGCGCCGGATTCAGTGCTGCTGCCGGAACTACATTCAGTGCTGCTGCCGGAACTACCGCGGGCATCACGGTCGCTGCCGGCGCAGCGAGACCAGGACCCGGGGTTATGGACTTGGCCTTCGCCGGCTGCCTAGCAGGAACCTGGTTCTTTGTTGGGGCCATATGAAAAATGATCATTTTTAATCCTTATTGGGTTTTATTATAACAAAAATGCAACATTGTAGCCAACAAGGCCCCAGGAACCACCTTTGGTGCAACAGTGACCGGTGTGACTGCAGTGGCTGCACCGGCCACAGCCGGGGTCACCCCTGCGGCGCGCTTGGGGCCCACGGCCATGCCGGACTTGGCCATCGCTGCTCCCAGCGTCTCCTCCCGAGACGCAGGTTCCGGCCCGGGCGCCTCAGTGATCCACGGTTTAGGGTTTAGGGCCCATAGTAGTTCCTTTTTGGGATTACCTTATAGGATTCTATATATGAATCCCAAAAAGGAACTACTTTAGAGCCGATGGGTAGTTCTACAGATCCCACTATCACTGCAAACGAACAGAAAGCTTGCAAAACTCAGCGACTCAACTGTAGTTCTGCAGAGTCCGTCATCACTACAGACGAAGAGAAAAGTTGCGATGCTGCAAAACTAAAGAGAGGCCTATGCCTTCCTGGGATTTTGGGATTTCTGAACCACGAATGAAACAGCCATAAACAGCCTTTTCGACTCTGAATAGGTCCAGCCACGGCCGCTTTGGAAGAAGTGGGGGCTTCGGATGCCACAGTGCCTGCCACGGCAACAGTGTCTGCCACGCCAGTTGCAGCCACTGCACCTTGCGATTGGGCCATGGCTGTTGCGACATCTGCAGCTGCTGGAAAAGAATATCCGGGCATCATGTTGACAGCACTCATGGTGTTCACAGTTGGCATGCCCAGGCCATAGGCGGCATAGAGCGCACTCATGTCGTAGGTGAAGCCGTAGGATGCAATGGCGGCGGCTGTGGAGTTTAGCTGCGTCGCAGTTTGTGGCTCGGCCTGCCCCTCAGCCTGGGACTCTGTCTTCGGCTCTGGCGCAGGACTTGTCACTCTCTGTGGGGTTGGCTCGATCTTCTTCTCTGGGAGTATGATGGGTTCCGTGACCCGGGGCTCCAATGCTTTCTTCTTGTTGTGCTCATGCACGAGCATAGCCCTCTGCATGTCAGCCTGAATTCGGACAGTAGGTGTTGACATCGGTTTAGGGTTTAGGGGTTTAGGGTTTAGGGTTTAGAGTTTAGGGTTTAGGATAAGTGGCTGCACGACCCGAAAGTGACTGGGCAAGCTGGCCTCCATTTGCTTGTTTCTCTTTTCGGCTGCCTGGCCATACTGCAGACACACTCTAAGGGCCTGTGCTTCAGACGGAATCGGGACAAAATCTTGTGTAAGGCAACAAGGGGAATGCCAGTTTAGGCACCTACTTCCACTCCAATACCACTTTTGTGACAGTTTGTTCACAGTACATTCCCCATGCGGCTTCACCAAGCCCCATGTCCATCCTCAGTCAGTCTATGCACGATAAACTGAGATAGCCACAACAACAGCATGACACAATAAGACCCCTAAACCCTGAACCCTAAAACCTAAACCCCTAAACCCCTAAGCCTAAACCCTAAACCCTAAATCCTAACCCCTAAAACCTAAACCCCTAAACCCCTAAAACCCCTAAACCCTAGACCCCTAAACCCCTAAAACCCCTAAACCCCTCGATTCCCTTTTAACGCTCATGCCCGAAACCGCCTTCGGGTTTAGGGTTTAGGGTTTAGGGTTTAGGGTTTAGGGTTCAGGGTTTAGGGTTTAGGGTTTAGTGGGATGAGGCAGAAAGACCAAAAGAAGCTTTGTGGCCATGACATGGCGCGCCTGCTGCTGTTCTTTTTGCAGCTGGTCCTCCTTTTCTTTCCTCAGCTAAACCCTAAACCCTAAACCCTAAACCCTGAACCCTAAACCCTAAACCCCAAAGGATTTTAGGCAACCGACTGACAGCGCAAGTGCGAAGGAGTTCGGCGCTAGCTTTGCAGGTTCTCACGACCAGAAGCCCATAGGGTACTAGTAGGAGGGCCTTTGGGTTTAGGGTTTAGGGTTTAGGGATTTAGGGTTTATAAGGGTTTAGGGTTTTAGGGTTTAGGGTTTAGGGTTTAGGGTTTGAGCTAGAATAGTCTGCCTGAAACCCTACCAAGGTGCCCTTTGTACCTGCAGTCCCCTCGCAGCTTGCCCCAAAAGTGGGTGTTCGATGTCAGCGTGGCTTCAGGATGTAGCCGCCTTTAGGAACTGTACGCTACATGCTGGGGCCATGCCGCCGTCAATCCTAATCCCAAAGTTAAACCCGAACCCCTTACAGAACCCGCATGGAACCCTTCCAGGAACCTTCAAATGGCCCCTAAATCAAAGCCCCTAAACCCTGAACCCCAAGCCGCAAACCGAAAGACCAACTTGGCCAGACAAGGCACTGTGCTTTCTCCTGCTCTCTCTTCCTGGGTTCTGAAGTGCCCAGAAAAAGAGCTAAAGCTAAGCCGTAAACCCTGAATCACGAACCTTGAGCCCTGAACCCTTAAATTTCAAACCCCGGCCCCTGCAGCTCTGTGCAATGTGAAGGTTCTTGCAAGAAACAGGACGCCGCAAGTGTGAACATGCCAGGTTGAGGGTTTAGGGCTTTTAGGGTTTAGGGTTTAGGGTACTCCAGAGATCTTGAGCCCCCTGTCAGCCTTCGAACGGTACGAAAACTCTCAATCCCAAAACCCTAAAGCCCGAAACCCTAAAACCACAAAGCCCCCAAAACCGTAAACTTACCCTAAAGCCCTAAAAAGCGTTAATTCTGACCCATGATCTAGACCAATCTCAATATTCCATTCGGGGGCTTGGGGTATTTTTGGTATTCGGGGTGCAGGGTTTAGTGCTTAGGGACTCAGAGATTGGCGTTTAGGGAGGGATTCGGAGTTCTGTATGGGCCCATAAGGGGCTGTAGGGGTGTTATATGGCATCTACAAGTGGTTTGGGGCTGTTTTAGAAGTTTCACAAGGGCTTGTAGCGACACTTTGAAAACTCAAAGGACCAGGGACTTAGGCAACTAGTGTCAGAAGTAGTGTTTAGGGTTTAGGGCTTAGGGTAGTGTAAGCTAGCAGGCATAGCTTTATCCGTTCGGCATGTTCATTAGCATCCCCGAAAAAACCGAATCTATCCCTGGCAATAGTTGTAAGGAGCCTTACATAGCCTTACATCCATCGACCCATGCACATCGTAAGTCCTCTTTCATATCCACACCTCGATGAATGGAACCCGCTCCCTCACCCATTACTACTGATGAACCTCCATGGCGGGTATGGTTTAGGTGCATTTCAACTGTTGATCCTGACAGTCATAAAGCCCTTCATTTAACCAACACAAAGACTGAAGAAACATAACATGTCTCCTAAACACAAAACGAAATCGAACTCTATATCCAAAGCCCTATACGCAGACCCCCTAAGACCCTCAGACTGCACATCCGAGTTTCTGCCGCTGGAGTTTCAGGGCGTTGCTTTCTCGCCTTCCCTTGGTGCTCGTTGGCTCCGTTTGCTTAGGGCCTTGTTTGTGCCTTTCCTATTTCATACGGGCCGTTTTTCGTCGCACCACCGCTGCCTTAACAAAATACGAAGGTTCGGGACATCGGTTTTGATTTTTTGCATTAGAGGTTCGGGAGCTGGGTAGGTGTATTACTGGGCTAAGGCTATAAGGGCTTGTGCGGAAATCAATCAAGCCGATCCTGCGCGGTTTTGGGGCGAGGTGTCTGTTGAAAGGTGCAGACTGCCAACACTTGCAGCTTTCACAAGAAGAACTGTTGATCGCAAGAGCCTGATTTGCAATTTCGGCAATAGTCATAACAGTAACAACAATAATGATAATGGACACAACAACAATAATCGTAAATTGTACTTCTTGGTGATATGGTCAAAAATAAAACAACCACCACCGGCACACCCACCTCCACCTCCACCACCAGCACCGGCACCACCGCCGCCGCCGCCGCCATCGCCACCGCCACCGCCATCCCCACCCCCCCTCCTCAGGGGTTCTGGCAGGCTTCGGGCAGGCGCATGAGCCTTCTCCAGAGGCCTTCACGACGTTGCGCTGAGCACTTCCATCCCAACCCGATATTTCGCCGCTAAGTTGACGACACCTTCCGGCCAAGCTGGGAAAAGAGGCTGAAACATTGGAAGCCAGAAAAAAGCCATGACGCCCGAAACATAAACCCTAAACCCTAAACCCAAATGTGAATACACGGAAGCCCGAAACCGCCCCAAAGGCGCTAAGCCCTGAACACGAAAGACCCGAACATCATTGACTTGCACAGAAATTTCAAGCCCTTGCACAAATAAGGTAGAGGCCTTTATAATTAGAATAGGTTTTGGGTGCAATCTACATTGTACTTTACTTCAGTTTGGAGTATACGGGAACAATAGTACAAGGTGCTTAGGCCCCTACAGACTCTCCTCCCTAAGCCCTAAACCCTAAACCCTAAACCCTAAACCCTAAACCCACAGTCTCTCCTCCCTAAACCCTAAACCCAAAACCCAAAACCGAAGACCCTCTCCCTGCAATCCCCTTTGGGCGCATGGCCAAAGCAAACTTGAAGTTCTCCTTAGCTTCGTTGCCCTGTGCGGTTTCTTGTCTCTGTTCCGGGGTTTTAGGACTCAGGGATTTGCGTAGGGTTCAGGGTTTTGGGTTCTAAAGGTGCTAGGGTTTCAGGGTTTAGGGTTTAGGGTACGGGGTTTAGGACTCAGGAATTTACATAACGTAGCGGCCTTAATAACTAGAATTAGAATAAGGAACCCCAAAATAGTATTGGTAATTATTGAGGCCCCTTTAGTGGGGCTTAGGGTTTTGGGGGTTTTTAAAGGTGTTAGGGTTTAGTGTTTTTGAATAAAGGTCTAGAGATTCAGGGGCTACAGGGTGGGATTTCGAAAGGCAGACTGATCTGGTGTCGCGAATTCTCATGAGGTGCCGTAAGTTCGGGGTCGGGTTGTCTCAGGTTTCATGCGGTTCGTGCACCTTGGCTTGTTTTGATTGGTAGGGGTTGCTGTGCCGGAGTTTTCGCCAAAGTTGGGGTCACAACTGTGGCCAATTCGATTATTATGAAACCTTCTTAAAACGCTTTTCATGTGCTCAAGAAGTACAGGAATTGTCCTTGTAAGTTGTAAAATGTGAATCCTAAACGAGGCCCCGAACCACCGGACTTCACAGCTGCTCACTTAGGGTTTAGGGTTTAGGGTTTAGGGTTTAGGGTTTAGGGTTTAGGGTTTAAAACCACCAAACCCTAAACCCCTAAACCCTAAACCCCAAACCCCCAAACCCTTCTCTGATCGTTGGAGATTCCCCGTGACAAAACTAAACGAGGTTGGGCTCCAGTTCGGGGAGGCGACGCTTTTGAATAGGGGGTCTGTCTTATGTCTCCATATTCCAGGATTTTGGGGTTTAGGGTTTGGGATCTAAGGATTTAGGGTTTGGGAGTTTAGGATCTACGCTTTAGGGTTTAGGGTTTCGGGTGGTCTCCATATGTAGGGATTAGGATCTAGGCTTTAGTGTTTAAGTTTAGGGTTTAGTAGGTACGGTATAATATACCCCACAACCTCAATCCGCAACTAAATCCATCTACAACGCAACACCGCAAACTGCTCTCTAGCCTGTTCCGCCATCCGGTCAATCCCTCATGCATCCTAAACCCCTAAAACCCGAAACCCCTAACCCCTAAACCCCCAAACCCCTAAACCCCCAACCCCTAAACCCCTAAACAC